AGTGATTTTCATTCAGCAAAACTTAAGCCAAGCAGCTCAAGAATGTAATAATTGGCAGAAATTCTCACACCCCAGTCCCATTCACAGTACCTCGACTCTCATTTCTGCATTCATTATGGCACTCGTATATTATATCATTCACAAAGTAATATTCTGTTGAAATTGACCGCTTCATAATGATGCTTTATGTAATTGTATTGAAGTTATGTTAAATTTCTTTCATTCTATGGCACACAAGCCGGAGCATACATTGATATATATGCTGCGAACAATAGATGAAGAATCATTTATACTTCATAAGTTTGAAGTTCTGACATTTTGAAAGAGAGATACGCTTGTTGAAACTTGCGAATGAGACCATCCAGTAAATAGCATTTGTTCAATTGCTTTTCCCTGTTTTTTTTTTTCTCAGTTTCCCTTTTTTTCGGTTTCTCTTTACATTTGTGGCATTTTATTTTCAGTGACGTGGTCCAATTTTATATTTTACAGTAAAATAGTATTGTGTTGCTTTCAACAGACAAAACAACATAATCCCGTTTCATTATGTGGTTGTCAGTCAACGCAGCTTAACTGTGTGACTACAGACGCACGTATATGAACGTGAGGTTGTTATTTAGCTGACAGTTTTAGTGGAGCGCCACTTCATGTGCAAATTAACGGAAACCTTTTTCATCTTCAACACTTTATTCATCAACTTGATTTTTACGGAAGTTCTCGCAGGCACATTTAAACGATTTCATTATTTTTTTGAACATTCGCTTGTCAAGGAATATGTCCACCACTCGTCGGCGACACACAACACATTTTGATGTTCCTGAAAACGATGCGAATCATGAATTTTTATTACGCCACAGTAATGGAATTTATATGTTTACGGTAATTAATACCTTTCCATTTTTCGATGCTTGATTTACATGCGCGTTTACATTTTATCCACTTTGTTCGTTCAACCAGAAATTCCCGGCTAAATAGATCCGAGATTTATTTCAAATTAATTTAAGCTGAAGATCTGCTTTTGAAAACTTTTCAACCGAATTTTATTTGAAACTAATTACATTTTTCACGCCACTCAACAGTCATCGGTATATACATTCTATCACTATCACTTGTGTGCAAACACAATATTTTACCAGCTGGAAAATATACACGGATTTTAGTTTACGCGATTATTGTCTGGGTAGCAACAGAAGCGAAACATTTTTCTAGCCCAAATAACAGAAGCTCTTTTCTTATCATACTTTTCCCGATGGTTTAAGTGCTGTTACTAACAACTTGTTAGTGAAATGGATTTCATGAGAAATTTAATACCCAAACAGAAAAAATGGAATTCTTTTGTGAGTAAGAGCTTACATTTTCTTTTGGAAATCAATGTCATCAAGTAATTGTTACATTGCTGCAAAAAAAAATCGTTTTACACATGGTACCGAATCAATGCCGTGTATTCATATTAATTGAATTCATTTGTAAATGCCTTGATTCTCATTGGAATGTCATTTATAAATGTAAAATTAATCAGATTTTCTGAATATTTGATGTGATTCACAGATGAATGCGATGACTTAAAAATGCCAAATTAAGAAATATTCGCAATATTTACATATATATGGAAAATTCCATCAAAAGCATAGATGGGTAGAGAGAGGGGATTTCTTTGTTTGCCTCACTCTCAGACACGTGTCCGTGATTTGCCCGGGTCTACAAAACAAAAGTTTTTCCTCCATCCTTCGATTTTTGCTCCCTCCCCCTGTGATACATGCCATTTGCACCTCCTGCATAAAAGTCTGCCCACCTATGCATCAAAAGACAAATATTGTACTTATTTCATCCCCTCCTCTATATTTTAAATCACAGATAGTCTTAATCATGCACACCAAATTCCCGTTATAATAGATATCCTGAACGAATCATACGTTGTATGGCATCATCATCATTGAAAACGGTTTTATTGGTGTACTGTTTATGATTTGATTGCCATTCAATGTACATTTTTAGCGCATCATGACAAAGAGGTTGTTAAACGCCGAGAAGCGAACTGCAGACTTAAATGCAGATACCGTTATGTGCTGGAGATATAAATACGTTAATTTTCTTTGTCATCAGAATAGAGACAGAGTGCACACCTTGATGTTAAATTTTATTATCAGTCTGAGTATTTATATGCATTTATTGTACACTGTACAGTGTACATACACAGGTGTTCGATTGAATGCTTTCCTTTCTTCGAATGGTAAATACGTTCATTGCACCAATTGTATATCTGCCTGATCTTATTCTTCTCTATGATTCCCGGCGATTAAGGTGAATTTGTTCGTGATTCCATTGTTAAACTGGAAAATTTGTTATTTTCGCAATAGACAAAACCGAACCGATTTTATTATACGCTACACTGTATGTTAGGCTGTTGGCAGACATGATTCACTCACGCCTAAGGAATTACTTTAATACATAAGCATAATATGCTGTAATAGTCGAACATTGAAAACAAAAAAAAAACGTGTGATTCTGTTGCTCGTCTGCATTTGAATATCATTTATACATCATTTCACATTCAGATGCGGATTGAAATGTATTCCGTATGTTTAGGTTTCGTTTCGATAATATATTTTGGCGGTATTTGAATCTTCAGCATATAAACTTTTATCCCTATCATGAATTCGTAATAAATTCGGTTTTCATTTGCTGTTGCTCCGTGTTAGTGTGTTTGCTCGACATATTCAGGTTTAACTACACATTCTTGTCAAGTGTATAAACTACATTCGGCAGGTTGCGCGCACGAACTAACACCAAATTCCATGTGAATGTTATGCTAGTCATTTATGATATTGCCATATGTGAAAATTGAGTATTATGTTCAAACAACCGTACAGCACTGTCGTAGTACGGCAAGTAGCGATAATAAAACAGTGACGATGTTGCAAAAATGATTACATATTTTCGTATGGTGTAACGAGGAATTTGAAACAATATAATCTTCTGTGCAATATTACTACCCGTGTGGGAAAATGTGAGGTGACTGGCTGATTTGGGACGGTTTGACAGTCTATTTTTTGATGGTCTTGACTTTGAATTTAGACGACTAACGTGCCAAAAGCGTCGAGTGTGGTGATTTCAGGTGATTTGAATTTTTTTTTTTTTTTTTTTGAAAAAAAAAATCAACTTCAATCAGCATTGGCTAGCAAATTTATTTATACCACTAATAAGGAACTTTTTTTGCACACGGGTTATCAATACTATTGATATCACTATCAATCGCATTTGATTAGGTTCAACAACAGCAAAGCATTCCATTCGAAAATATCATTTGTCAGTATTTATGAATATTAATCGAAAATATGTTGATGATGGTGTAATGTGATGTGTTCATTGCAGCGCGATTTCATCAAATTCCACAAAGTGGATGGAGCTACTTATCAATGGTGTTACAATCAATATACACCTCATGAACCCATTGAAATGAATTTCTACACGAAGCATCGTTACATCATTCGTGCTGACTCACACAAAAAAAGAACGATTTTTTCCCTCACAATCGCGAGTCATACAAACATTGAGCAAAACATGTTTTTTTTTTGTAGCGTGCACACTTCCAAAGTGAATTCATGTAGAAAATCTTACATTGTATCTCCTTTAAGTTTGCAAACACTATATTTCGGTTTTATAAACTCTTAATGCATACAAATGTAATGCGATTTCCTCTTACTTTCGCCATGATACGTCTATTCATGTTTTGTTAAGCGTGCAATTTTAGCATTTTGTATAGGAAAATAAGGAACTGAAAGCGGAACATTCAAACACGGTATTATAACATGGTAATGCTTTTCGATTTGGTGTGATGTTGGTTTACTGTTATTGCACTCATTATCGTTAACCAAAAAAGCTGGCCCAATAAACGTTGTCTTTGTGGTTGCTAGAGTCGATGCGTTTTCAAATAGAAAATGCTGTCATAACGACAATCTCATGATGCTTGAATCTAGAATAATAACAATTGTTTTAATATTTTAAGAAGATGAAAAGAATAATATCATTTTGATGAAAACGCGAGCTCCTGTTGCTATGAAATGACTTTAGTCATCATCTCTGATTAGCTTCAATGTATGTGCATACATGATGGAACCCATTCGAATTTATCACTAAAACAAATAACATGAATGTGTTTGCAATGAAAAGAAACAATCGAAGGCCAAAACAAAAGAGGTTCGCGCATTGGAATTTGATGATGATTTTTTTTTTTCAGTATGAATATTTGAATAAAATATGCAGTTTTGTTTTAAACTTGCAAAGTACAACGAAGCGTATCTGCATTTTGCTTACTATTGAGATTTCACACCAGTTCAGTCACAACAGACAATATGCCTGTGTATGTAGATTTGCGTTTGGTCCATACAGTTTGTGAATTGTTTATGCATGTGCATGTGTGGAAGGGAAGAAAAATAACATACTGATTGAGATTTACTGCATATACGATGGTATGAATGGAAGCACGACAAAAGGAATTTAAGTGCGCGACGTAAATAAGCAAAACATCTGAATGTGTAAATAAAATATTTATATACACATTTCAATGACTTGTTTTGACTTGATTGTTATGCGACAAACAAAAAAACAACACATACATATACACAAACACACAAAATGCAAATATACACATTTATTCGAATACAATTTAAATATTAGAATTTGCCTTTTGCTTGATGTGAAGTTATATAATGACAGATTCCTCTAATTTAATTAGAAAATACAGATGCTTTTATATTACCGTTCCACACACACCCTTTGTGCATGAGAATTTTTATGTTCTATCTTTTGTTGTTCACGTTGAGTGGCTATGAAATTTCAGATTTGTTTTATTTTTGTTTTTTCGTGATATTCGTTTCTTGTTTTGTGAATCAAAATTGCCCAGTGTCAATTGGGGTTAAATCGTGATAACATAATCTCATTTATAATCAGCTAACCAAATGCTTGTTTCATATTTTGTATGTAGAGTAAACTTGAATATTCCATTGCAATCGGATGCAATTTCGATCTTGAAGAAAGGTGCAATCATTTTTAAATTTAAAAAAATCTAATTCATTTTGAAATAGTGTTTACGTTATTTTCCTCAAAGACAGTTTTTAACTAAAAAAAATTCTTTACCATGATAAAATTGAATTTTTTGGTCGCTCTACTTTTTTTCTGTTTTGAGGTCTGTGCAAATTCTGATTTAGATAATCGGCTGACTTCTGCCGCTGTAGAAGGTAATCACTTAAAGATACTGAATATACAACAGTGGTATCAACATCCTATTGATATGTGGACTATGGGTGACAGCAAATCGTTGACAGAGCCTAAAATGAGAAAAAACCGGTTTCGCAGAAAACCGGTAGCCAAGATTTCATTTCGGTACTCAAAATTTTTGATTTCGGTAGTCAAGAATTTCAAATAAAATTTAAAAGAACAACCAAAATTATATTTACCGCGTCATCAGTGAATATCTCACAAATTATCTCACAAATGCATATCTCACAAAAAATAATAATATTTTTCAAGAAAAAAAGTCGGTATTTTGGAGCGAGCGAACGGAGGCCGGTTGGTATGCTTAAAAAAATCGGTAATCAAAAGAAATTCTTCGGTAGTTAAGGCAAATCCTTATTTTACGCTCTGGTTTCGATCTTTGCACGATACATTGCGTCACTGCGATAGCAGTTTAGCTAATAATACCTTTCTACTGAGATTACATTTTAATTAATTGCAAACGCAACATGTTCTAGGCAATATAGAAACAATCAAAACTCTTATCAATGATGGAGCAAATGTGAATTTCGAAGATGAATACAAACATACGCCACTTCACTGGGCTGCTGTCCAGGGTAATTATACACTTTTCAAAAATTAATAATAAATATTTTGAATAAGTCTCATTTCTTTTCGTGTATTCTAGGTCATGCGGAAATAATTAAATATCTAATAGAAAAAGGTGTTAATGTAAATGTCGAAAATTTAGACAAAAATACACCAATTCACTGGGCTGCTTGGAATGGTAATTATTTACTTTTTAAAACTAAGAATGAATATTTATATAAAATATATTTTCATTACAATTTTGACTTCCAGGTCACAAGGAAGCAGTTAAAACCCTAATCGACCATGGCGCCAATGTAAATGCTGAAGATAAAGACAAAGCAACACCACTCCATAAGGCTGCTGAGAATGGTAATTGTGCTCTTTTAAAAATTTCTTCTTACTTTTCGTGCTTCTTAGGTCATACAGATACAGTCAAATATCTAGTCAATCATGGGGCAAATGTAACAGCTCGAAATAATCAAAATAAAACACCACTAGAAGTGGCGTTAAAACTTGGTAATTTGGAGACACACATTAAAATCGTAAACAGCGTAATGGAGTTAAATAACGATCATTTTAGGTCAAGAGGGAGTTAAACTTCTGACGAAACCAGAGAAAACTTCAAAGACAAAAAATGGTAATTATTATTAAGAAAAAGAAAACTTGGCCATTACATACTTTCATCATTGTTCGGAATCAGGGGACAAGATTTAAGATCCACTTTCCAAAAATCAAAATATTTCAAATAATTTTTCCGAATTTTTCAAAAATGTGTCAAGATTCTTTCAGATTCATGAAGAATAGAATTGATTTGAAAGATCTAGTCACTATATTTATATTTGGTGTCAAGCCTCCGAAAATAATCGATTAAAAATGTAATTTCATTTGATTTTTACTTCGATATTAGCATGTAGTCAATTTCCCCGAATTGAACCAGTAACATCACGTATTATAGGGGGCGATGTGGCAGAAAAGGGTGAATTCCCTTGGATGGTAAGTTTGATTTTGAATTTTTTCTTCATTTTCCAATGTATTTTCAAAATGTACTTTTTTTTTTGGAAAGGCTGCTTTAGTTTACATGGACAATTTCAAATTAAGTTTCGGCTGCAGTGGTACCATAATATCGGAGTTTTATGTAATGACGGCTGCGCATTGTGCGAGAAAGAGGCGTCCACCGGTAGCAGTTCGATTGGGAAAAGTAAGTGAAATCACCTAATCAGTCTACTTGAAGTGCTTCGAAATATTCTTTTTTTTTTTTTTAAATAGGTAAATGTAACCGATGAATCTCGCTCAAATTATCAAACAGATTATTATATAGCAGTGAGTAATTCGAAATTGATTCTACAATTTTCTTTTTACTTAAAGTTTTTTATTTTCTCTTATAAAGAATATCAGACGACATCCAAATTATTCGAGTTTCACAAAAAAGAACGATATTGCATTGCTTCGACTCACGGTACAGATTTATTTCACCAATACAATTAGACCGGCTTGCTTGCATACTGATATGGGTGATATCGATAATAGCACAAAAGTAATTGTGACCGGCTGGGGCATCACTGATCCCGAAAGTATGTTGAACTGTTTCAGTATAAAATTTCCGCACACATTACTGTACACTAATCCATCATATTCGCTCTCTTTTTTCAATTTCAGAGCCGAACTCTCAATCAAACGAGTTACTTAAAATTAAGATTAATACAATGCCGTTAAGTGAATGCAACACAATCTATACGAAACATGATGTACTGAAGAATGAAGAAGTCTTTCATCTTGATATCGGCCAGTATTGCGCATACGATCCGGCTGGAATAAAGGATAGTTGTCAAGGAGACAGTGGAGGTCCACTTCAACACATCCCAAATAATGATGCAAACGAAGCCACAATTGTTGCTATCGTTAGTTTTGGCAATGGTTGTGGTTTGAAATTGCCTGGCATCTACACGCGCGTCTCTCATTATATAAATTGGATTGAATCCGTTGTCTGGCCGTGACATTTTTCTTGCAAATTTTATCACTTATTTTATAAACCATTGATAGCTTTCTGAAAAATATTTACTGTACGACAGACGAAGCTTGCTCCTATCTTTACCACAATATATACAAACGTGTATAAAGTTGTTTTCGCCATAAAACAAACGTATTTGAATAAAAAGACCCAAATCATATCATTTAAATACAAAATGGAAATAGCACACGGAAGAAACAAAGAAAGACAAAAAAATCTCTTGATTTTGCAATCACGTCATCACATTTTTTAGATCGCAGGTCTACATGTATATGTGTGTTTTTGAATGAACAAGTAAGCACTTTTAAAATAATACAGTAAAAGCTTCGTTAAGCAAATTTCTTTATTATCTCCCTTGTTCTTTCTCGTGTTTTTTTTTTCATAACGCAAATTAATTTGTTGTGGAATTAACATTTTTTTTATTAAAAACTGCGTCGAGCCTATGCAAACAAAATATCATCCACTCGTGCAAATAAAAATCCCGCTGGCATTACTGTAGTTTTCATTCAATTTGAATTAATTACATTGTGTTTTTGTTTGTGTTATCAGCAAATTGGTTTACACAATGTTGTGCCGCACACTATGCCTGATGTACTCATGCCGAATAAAATTGATACCAGATTTTTTCCACTTCAAATGAAAAGTTTGTTTTTATTCTATTTTCTTATGTTTTCGTCAGTCCTAATTTTCTTTTTAAAAAAATTACGCACGAGAAAAGATATAATTAAATTTTGTTCCCGCCTTGCGTGCAAGTATTATGACGAGAGTGAGAGAGCAAAAGGTCGAACTTTTATGGTAATCGAATATTTTATGCGGACGCTTTTTTTCTTCTGTTTATATAATAGAAAAAATGCCGGATCGTCCGATGATGATGATAACATCATTAAACATGGGAAAGTTTTTCTCTTCAACCCTCCGGATTTGACTTTTAGCGCCAAAAGTTTTTGTCAAATAACGTTTTCTATAGCTAATTTGAGATGATATACAGCATGCGATAATATTGATTTTTTCTTCTGCTACGAACCAATAACATTGTCATACGAGATTTTTTCTTTGAACAATGGGACTCAATATCCGACAAAAATTAGCTGAAGTAAAACAAACAAAGAAATAGCTAGTAATTCAATAAATATCAAGAGACAAAACAAATAAGTTATGTTCGTGCCTAAGCATGAGAATTTCTACAAAAAACCACTGTCGTTTTTCCGTCATGCAACTGATTGGCTGTGCCATGGGACCGAATTCTTTAATCAATAACGCGTTGCTTTTGTCACTCAAGCACCCAGTGGCACACATTTTTTTTTTCACGCACACAGTTTCGTTAAGTCAATAAAATTGGATTGTATTGGATGGAGCTCATTTTTTCTCTCCATCGGGACAAAAACACCTTTTCTGTCATCAGCGACCAAATGGATGCAATTAAGAACATAATGCAAAAGCGTTAATTTAATTTTAATGGATTAAAAGAGATATTACCATACAGAGAATGAGCATGTGCTCTTTTTATTCATTCTCTCACAAATTTAATTTGTACACTGGTGCACTTTTTTTCTCGTATACTTTCCATTTTATTTATTTACGCTATTTGTATCATAAAAATTAAAAAAAGCGATTGCACACAAACGTGTATGACCAAAAAACCGCTTTATGTGATGCGCGTTAAATGATTCTTTTTTTGCTTTTGAAAAGAACCAATTGAACTAAATTTAGTCGCCGTCATTGATTCCACAAAAAGGGTCTTTCATTTTCTCTTTATGAAGGTAAAAAAGTATGTCATGATTCAATTTGATGCGATCGATTTGGTAAGCATTAAATCGTGTGCAACTAAACGGACATATCAAGCATCCGTCTAACTCCAACAAATTGCTTAGTGCATTGATAAGATTTGCATTTTTTATATCAGCAATTTTTTTTGCACACTGCATTTTGAATGTCAATGAAATTCAGAATTTATTGCATAGATTAGAATTTTTTTTATTGCGATAAAAAGGTATTTAAAGGCACATGAAGTAATGAAATTCAGTCACTTTGTCCAAAGTTTGTGTGTTATACGTTGTGGTCATTTTTTGTTCTGAAAACAAAATGTACAAATTTATAATCATTTTTTTAAAATCTTATTCAGTGCAATGAGAAGTTGTGAAAATCTTCAAATTATGAATGGTAACATAACAACACGGGAAAATAATCCATGGATTGTCTCAATAAATACCGCGAGTAAGATTCATTGGATTATTTGGTACACGTGTTCAGGAACGCTAATTTCTAAAAAGTGGGTGATTACGAGCGCACATTGTTATGAAAACCGCTGGTTTCCAATTTATCAATTTACGAGTATTAGAGCCGGATCCGAGTCGGATGGTGCATGGCCTTATTTAGAGACATGGATTATACATCCTGATTTTGACTCAAATGCTGCTAAAAACGATGTTGCTTTGATTCTTTTAAGCTCGGAACTTGAAAAGTCAAACAAAATATGTTCAATTGAAATGGTAAATCAGGTTGAAAAAGTCCAACTCGACGATTTTTCACGGTCATATCTCTGACTATATGAGGAGTTTGCCCAAAAACCAAATACGCACAAACATTCATGCCATACATTTTTCTATGTTTTCGATGTTGATTTGTGTATGTATATGCGCGATTGAATGCTGTACCATCCGAACAACGGTAACAGTGTATCGTCTCTATCTCTCTCTGTGTGTGTCTGTGTTCGTGTTGTTTTCCCTTTCGCATTCATCAACGATTCCACTTTGGTTCAATCACTGAATTGAGATGGTATTTATGTTGATTGTGTATATGGATGAGTACGGGCGTATCGTTGTATGGGTGTAGTTTATGTTCGATATGATTCGAAATAACAAGCAAACAATGCACTGTGGAATAAAGAATGAAAAAAAAGAAGTGTTGTGCGTGCGTTCTGTGCACAATAGCATACAGAGTCACACATTCCTTCGCATTCAACGCGCTGTCATTCACAAACCTCTCGGATAACTTGAATTTTTTTAAGGAGAATACAAAAAAATATAACATCAACATCAAACACACACTGTGAAAAGTTTTTATCAAACATTTATCAATCAATTGAATAAGTACTAAAACAATGAATAATATCATTTGCATCAACTTTGTTGTCATTGTATTTTTTTTAAGTACAAGTGAAAGTGAACATGCCTACTTCAATCCTTACAATTGTACAAATGCACCCCGGGGTCTTGTTTATGTTTGTGGTACTGATGGTAAGACCTATACTAATAGATTCTTTTTGAGGTGTGCTCAACATTCAGAGTACGGACAAAGAATAAATTTACAAGAAAGCCATGCTTGGATATGTTATATATGGGAAGAATATATCTCAACCTCTACACTTTTATTAGTGAGTTCATATTGATTTGATTTAGTTTTGATAGATATAAAATCCTCTAATAATTTTGTTAATTTTTCAGATTATACTTGCTCTGGTTATACTTGCTGTTTGCTTGTGCATTTATCGAAAGAAACGAATCAGTCGAAAAAAAGAAGAACCAAACCAAAATGTTTAGAGCTGTCGAAATTTGAAATAAATGAGAACAATTAATGCTTTTATTTGAGACATCAAAATGGAACTGATTTATTCTGAATTCATCATTTGCTTTTATACATTTTTAATAAGTGACTATTCTAATAAAATATATAAAACAATTCTCTAAGTACAAAGTCTAAAGTCCAACCTAATAGTTAGTGCAATACGACGTTTGAAAATTAACACATAACCAAAATATACGTTCTAAAATAAATCTAATCTAACAAACTTTCTAAATGTAACTCCTAAAAGTAGGCAAACGCAAAAGCATTATTCATTTATGAACAACCAATGACAAAGCATTGTTCATTCATGAACAAGAACAGATTAATGTCAATGCTGAATAAAATGTATAAGGTAAGTGATGGTAAGGAACACACTTTTTTCTCTCACGTGTATACGAAAAAGTAAAATTAAATGTTTTTGTTTCTTAACAATCCCCACCTTAAATTTCAAAGCGTCAGAGCCTTTGCTAGATGTTAGCAATCATATTTTCACTTTTGCAATCTACAATAATATTTTTTGTTTTCCTTTCTCATTTTTCATATGCACTGCTTTGTTTATATGGTCGCAGTAGCCCATTGATAATTATGAGCAATTTCATAATATTTGCATACTGCGAGTACAGTTGTGTACTACTCTTCAATGAAAATACCTCTACATCACATTGAATCGTATATATTTTTATTGTGAACCATGGACGACATAAAGAACAAAACCATCCACGCCATTCTGAACCTCACTTGGGTTGGGAAAAACATGATTTAAATGGTAAGTTTTTTAAATTTTTTGATTTTATTTTTCTATCAAATAATAATAATTTTCGAATTAATTTTTTCTTTTCAGCTGAATATAAATATAAGTACCAGAGAGAGAGAAATCCAGATGTTGCTCAATCAAATGAACTATGTTCATGAAATATAAAGCCACTTAATTTGGAATTTCGATCAAATAACCAAAAATAAAAAATATTAAGAGTTGGGTTTTAATGAAAAGTTTGAATTTCTATGATTTTTTTTTACAGCAACCAAGTGACAAGGTATAATTCAATTTCCATTGGGGAGGAGAAAAAGAGGTAAATGCAAATAAAATCACACGAACTAAATGAAAACCAAATTTTTGAAGCCCTATTCGTGAACAATATACTATTGACAATTAATTCATGAATGAAAATAAAAATATCAATTGATTTTTTCTACGCGGTGACACGCTTTAGTTCATCATACGGGAAGTGTAAATAATGTTTAATTCAAATCATTTATTCAAGAGGATGACTTTATATATATCATATTTGGTGAATTTAGCACTCAAATGGAGGTTTATATTTGGAAAATCGTTTTCATTGACAACGCAATTTGACGAAGCATTTTTCCGTCATCGAATTCGTATCCATATTTACTTACACCAGTCTATTTGCACAGACTCTCAATTTGAACGTTTGTATCGTATGGAACGGAAGATGACGACAATTCAATAACGAAATATATATATATGTTAATTTCATTCAATCGAACACACTAAACTGCAGTCGAAAATTGCATTGACAACGACTACGTAATTTGCTGTGTGCATTGGCTAAATTGGCAAACACATCTATCTCTCTCTCCTTTCACTCTGTGTATTGTCATTGCCAACTTCCGATTCGTTTCCCTCATCACAATCAGTCGTTTGCTATTTGCGAAGTGAAACAGATGTTGCATCTTCTGTATCCATCGATGTATATTCGATTTGTGATGTGCCAGCGACTACATTTTACTACTTTTACAATGTAATGACTTGCTCAAAAGAACGCGTTCAATATTTAATGTTTGTAAATATGATGCATCTAGCTTGCGTACAATGCGGCAAAACACAAAGAGCGAATAATCAAACGATTATTTGCGGTAGAATATCAAATCAAATACATGTTTAAAGATCCCGTTGCACAATCAATGAATGTTGGTTTATTTTCATTGAGCTTTGATTTTGTTTTTAAACCAACGAATGGAACACATATTGTGGTGCCTTTTGAAATCCAAGGATGCCTAAAGCGCAAATGCACTATATTTTATGTTCGCGAATTTGTCAAAGTGCATGTAATGCTTTGAACATATCTTTATATACATTTCCTAAAAAGCCCCTCAGCCAAACCCAAAACATTTGAGCCTACTCAATTTCCAAACAGTTCTATCTGCATCTCTACGGTCACAGTAAAGAATCGTTAAATTATGCAAGCATCAATTGTATATTTGAATTGGAAGTGAAATGAATACGAAACACAAATTTCCATCCCGAAACCAAATTGGATTGGAAGAATTTCTTGTATCATGTAACAACGACTTGTGAAAGCGAATCTAAGCTAGAATGACCACATTACTAGTGAGAAAACCGGAACAAAATGATTGTGAATATTTTATCTTGTGATAATTTTATTTTGAAAACTGCAAATAACGCAAATGCAAATGCACTTTTTATCAAATCGCTCGTGTTCATATGGTTTTGTCGCTACTTTTCACATAGTGAACACGTGTGTGTATGTATAATCAGAGTTTTTGGAACAATTTGCTTTTATTGCTTGTTCGTTGTGATCTCATTGAATTTATCCCTGATGATCCGAACACCTTTTTTTCTGTCTGCACAGAATGATGGCAAAGTTAAAAACGATTGAAAGGAAAATAAGAAAGACACGAAGAAGGAAAAAGAAGCGAAACGATAATATTTGAAATGGTAGCGAACACGAATTTCCATAAAGTTTGCGCTGCTCAATTTCAGTTCACTGCAGAATACATGCATACATAATTAATTTGTTCGACGCTTTTTTCTCTTCGTCTCTCAATATGACCCTCTGTTATTTGAGCGCAACTCGAATGAGTTCATTTTTTTGAGAGCTCATTTAAAAAAAAGGTGTTGAAACAACAAGCATATTCTAATTGAATGGTGGCTTGAACCCCAAGTATTTTTTGCTGCATTTGCAATTTTGATATCTTTCTGTCTTTTTTTTTTTGGCTATTTGCATCTTATTGAAGATCTGGATTTTCGACACAAGATTCACACAACACAATAAAAAAATGTATTGTATTAACATGGACGAAAAATATGCACATTTTCCCACTTATTTGAAATTCCGTTTTAAATGACATTGGACGGTTCGTTGTCCAATTGACGTCATCAAACATCATCACAAAATATTCTTTGACCCATGTGTGATCACTTTTGACGTGCGAAATTACAATATATTCAAGGTGTATTTGCAGTCGCATTCCATACAATAAAAATTGAATGAATGTCATTTAATTACACCTTATGTCGTTTCGAGTCTTTAAATCATCTATTGTTTACAACATCTCCAATAATAATATCAGATCACATGTAAATGATTTTGACGATGTGATTAAGTATGCTAATTCGATTGTTTATTTTCAACAGTACAATTATGAAATAATGCCAAATAAGTCACATCAACTTTTGAATAACCACCATGACCTTTATCGCTCCGTTCAAGATTAAGTGGCATCTAATTAGAATGTTACTTAGAAAGAGCTGCTCTTTAATCTCTTCATAATTGTCGAATAACAGACAACAAATAACCACATGAAGATGAATCAATGTGATAATATTGAAGGAGTACACAAAATGCCATACTATTCCAGCAACGATGCTTTCAAACAAAACACTTGAATGAGTTTCGTGTTCGTTTGCTTGTTTGAGCTACGTGGTGGCGATGATGTGAATTGTTTGTTCACTCTTCAGCTTGCTGCTTACTCTAGCTCGGAACATTCAATGAAAATTAATTGAATTAAGCACCATAAAATCAAATTAAACTTCGATCGCATCAGGGGATGCATGAGAATGATAATAATGAACGACCACGAGACCACCGAAGATGATTATTTCGGTAAAGTTTCAAAATTGGTTATACCCACTCGCATCATCCATTTCGCTTTTAATTGGATAACAAACGGTTGAACGGCCATTATGATCTGTCAATAAACCATAAATCGCTGTTAAATGATGGTGTTCCCAGAAGCAAAAACATGCATTTTTGAATATAATCATTTAGATACTCGATTATTGTGTGAATAAGAGCAAAAGCAAACAGAAAACAACTGAGAATGAAAACAACTGCAAAGTGAATGATTATATTTGCTCATTTGTGCGATTTTCATTTCATCATCATCATCGTCGTTGTCATCATAACTCGAATCAAGTATGCAAATTGTAACTACCAAATAAATATATCAAAAGAAATTATTGCGAATCTCTTTCTCTCATGTATTTTCTAACAAAAGAGAGCGCGCAATAGACAAATTGAGTAAAATGCATGAAATTAAATAAAATGAAACGATGAAAATCCGCAATAACAATGGAATGTTTACATTACGAATGGAGAACTAATGCCATAATATGTGCATAACATCTATTCAATGGCGGTTCCCTTTCTGGGACAGAAAAAATCCACAGACGAGAGAGAAAAAAATAAAGTCGGTGGCATGATGAATGAATCGTAATCACTTGATGAAACTATAAAAAGATATACGATCGAAAAATGTTACGAATTTTTTTGATAACATTCAATAATGTATGCAGTTTGTAACATGAACCAATTTTAAATCTGGTTCCCACAGCAGCAATAATGTTGCTTGTTGGAAAAATGTCTCCTCCTAATTGAATCGACGATTCATTGAAAATGTACACAGAATCGGATTCACGCTCCGCTGTGGGAGTCGTCACAAATGGCATCATTTTTTTTTGCACTACATTAAATGTACGCTATCGGTTTGGTTCTGGATTTTTTTTTCTGTCCGTGGTTTATGATGGCTGTGTTGGATCGTGGTGGATCATAATGAACCATGCTGTTTGTGGAAAATCTTGTTAGACCATGATGGCCGTGCTATGTCATGGCCACCATGATCAGAACCTGTTTCTGCGAGCAATATATGTGAGAAGGAGCGCTGTGAGGTACTGGAACAGCGAAATACTCAAAGTTAAAAAAAATAATGCGAGCGAAGCGAAGCGACCGAGCACCCATATTTGTTGTTGATTTGGTTTCATTTTTCATGTCACATAAATAAGTTGTTATCAGCAATCTATCTTTTCATCTAGAGAATCAATCATTTGCGTTTCAAAATGAGAACTGATTTTGATATAATCACTTATGTTTTCATCATCATTCATTCAACAATGGTTTTGGACACACAAAGTCAACCGACAAAAATTTGTTATTTGCTCTGTGTTCGATTGAAAATAAGATGGAATCTATTTCAAGCCATTGTGTGTTCAGAGCAAATACACAATGTTTATGGGTTGTTACACAAATAGTGACGGTTTTTTGTGTGATGTTTTTTTTTATCGTTAGTAACGTAAACACATTTTATGACAAACAGAAGCAATTAAGTTTTATTGACAGATAGTGTGATATATTTGGTGTTGAGAGCCATCACAATGGTCTGTGTGCCAGCATAGCGTGAAGTGTACGCGTCACATTCGACAGGTTCATAATGTGATAATAAAGTACAGCAATGAATAAACGTAAATAAACAATAAAACAGGAAAGACTCTCGATTAACAGCTGAATAAAACGTAATAGTCATTGGACTGCCAATAAATGAACATGAAAATGCATGACTTCATTCACTACACGATATACGTGGCACTCGCATCAATTTCAATGTTTATGGTTGGATATTATTTTCAAATCAAAATCTCATTAACCGTGCATTTACTTGGCAGTGTGTTGTGAAAACATGACGACCAATTTTGTTAAACATTTCATAGTCAGTCAAATGAAGTTCCTTAAATAGATATATATACAAAACTTAACATTAATATTTTGGCATGTAATGCAACAATAAAGCAAATGAAGTTTACCAAACTTACATCTAATTAAATGAATTAAGGGGAGAAATAATTTAAGTTGCTGCTTCGTTGCTGCAGAATAATTTCAAGAGGTAAAGGAAGTGAGGCGGGGGGCGAAAAAGCGAGAGAATGAAACATTTCATTTATGCAATAGATTCCG